TCTTTTTGATTTCCCAGAGACCAAGCATTGCTGCTTCTCCTCCCATGGGTCTTACCATGCTGCCTAAGGCTCCCTTTGTGGGATCCCCTCCCCTTGACTCTCCAGGAGACAGTAGGGCTCCTCAGGACCTCCTGGACCTTCCCTTCTCACACGACAGCTTCCCCCCCCCCCCCCCCCCCCCCGCCACTTACTTCACCCATCTCTATGGCATCACTTACCACCTGGATGCCCATGGTTCCAATGCTACGTCTCCATCCTTGAGAGCACTTTTTTTGAAGATTTTATTTATTTATTTGATAGACAGAGATCACAAGTAGGCAGAGAAGCAGGCAGAGAGAAAGGGAAGCAGGCTCCCTGCCGAGCAGAGAGCCCGATGCGGGGCTCGATCCCAGGACCCTGGGATCATGACCTGAGCCAAAGGCAGAGGCTTTAACCCACTGAGCCACCCAGGCACCCTAAACGTTGTCTTTTTATTACATGTCATACATAGAAAAGTGCAGAAAATATCTATGGCATTTTATTTTGTTTTTATTTTTTCTTTTTTATTATTTATTATTTTTATTTATTTATTTATTTATTTGAGCAAGAGAGCACGAGAGCAGAGTGAGGGGCAGAGGGAGAAGCAGACTCCCCACCAAGCAGGGAGCCCGATGCAGGGCTCGATCCCGGGACTCCAAGATCATAACCTGAGCTGAAGGCAGATACTTAACCTACTGAGCCATCTAGGCATCCCTAAATAAATAAAATCTAGGGGCGCCTGGGTGGCTTAGTGGGTTAAGCCTCTGCCTTCGGCTCAGGTCATGATCTCAGGGTCCTGGGATCGAGCCCCGCATCGGGCTCTCTGCTCAGCAGGGAGCCTGCTTCCCCCTCTCTCTCTCTGCCTGCCTCTCTGCCTATTTGTGATCTCTCTCTCTGTCAAATAAAATAAATAAATAAATCTTTAAAAAAATAATAAAATCTAAAAAAAAAAAAGATTCTCTCTTCCTCTCCCTCTACCCCTCACCCCCTAACACACATACCTCATGTGCTCTAAAAAAAAAAGAAAAGAAAGAGAGGTTTTTGGCAAGTACAGCAGCTGGGAATTAAGGAGGAGAATTCCAAAGGAGAGATCAGAGAGGAAGAGCCCCCAAATCTGTGTACATATTTTGTCCAAAGCTCTGACCACTAAACTACATAAGCATAGGGCAGACTCCAAGCAGCCCAGCTAAGCCTCAAAGAACTGAACTGAAATTTGAGCTGCTTCTCATTGTAAAAAAGACCAACCTCATAGGAGTGCAGCCAAGTTAACCATCCACCAAAACAAATTAATACTCTCTGGAACATAAACAGAATCCAGATTCCTTATACACATCTGGATCATTGACAATAACTAGAACACAACTCAATATACTCAGCATACAAAGGAAATAGGAAAATATGAGCAAGAGAAAAAAAAAAAAAGTCAGTGGAGGGGCGCCTGGGTGGCCAGTGGGTTAAAGCCTCTGCCTTCAGCTCAGGTCATGATCCCAGGGTCCTGGGATTGAGCCCCACGTTGGTCTCTCTGCTCAGCAGGGAGCCTGCTTCCTCCTCTCTCTCTGCCTGCTTGTGATCCTGTCTGCCAAATAAATAAAATCCTTTTTTAAAAATAAATAAACAATACAAAATTTAAAAAAAAATCAATGGAAACGGACCCAAAGAACCCAAATGTTGTAATGAGTGAAGATATCTGAAGTAGCTTTGGTGACCACACCTCCAGCCAGCACCAGGGTCTCCCTGCGTCGCCTGTCCTGGACCTCCATCCCCACCTTGGCTCGAAACGGACCCCAACTCCTCCTGCTCCAACCCACGCCTCTTGCATCTGTCCCAGCTCCAGCAAAGGCCAAGGGATAAAGCTCGGGGCACCCATGGCACCATCACACACACACACACACACACACACACACACACCCGGGGAGAGCCCGAGCAGCCTCGTTTCTTGTAGGAGGCCCACGGGAACTCCGCATTTGCTCCTCCCATAGACTCCCTGGGGACCTTCCTGGTGACCATGGCCTAAGGCACGCCCAAGCCTGGCAGGTGGTTGCACTTTTTTTCCCCTGCAAAGATTTTATTTATTTATTTGACAGAGAGAGAAGGAGAAGCAGACTCCTGTTAAACAGGGAGCCCAATGCCAGACTCAATCCCAGGACCCCAGGATCATACCCGAGCCAAAGGCTGACGCTTAATTGACTGAGCCACCCAGGCATCCCAGAGGTGGCACATTTTGGAACATTACTCCAAAAAGGTGCATTTAGGAGGAGATCTGTTGGCTGGGGTGAACTCTATTTTGTGACTTTTTTTTTTTTAAGATTTTATTCATTTATTTTTTTGATAGCCAGAGATCACAAGTAGGCAGAGAGGCAGGCAGAGAGAGACAGGGAAGCAGGCTCCCCGCTGAGCAGAGAGCCCCATGTGGGCCTTGATTCCAGGACCCTGAGACCATGACCTGAGCCGAAGGCAGAATCTTAACCCACTGAGCCACCCAGGCACCCTATTTTGTGACTTTTAAGCTCTAAGTGAAATCAGAGGACACCCCATGGTCTCTGGACAAACGAGTGAAAGGGAGACGCTGTGGGTATTCTCAGGAAGGGTTTCCTATTTGTGTGGTGTTGTTGGTTTGGCTTTTGTTTAAAAGAAATAATAGAGTCATCTCCCTCCACTGTTATCAGTCCCCTTCAGGCTCTCAGGGGACAGATCAGGCCGTATCTGGGGGCACAAAGGAGAGTGGAGCGGGGAGACACGCCGACCTGGCAAAGAGTACTTACGCCACCGTGCCGCAGGGCAGTGGGACAGGGCAGGGTGGCCGGACGGCAGTCAGCTCAGCATGAGAGCTCTTGTGACTGAGGTCGACTGCCCAAGACCAGGTTACCAGCCCCAGGGACCACGTGGTAGCAGAGAATTTTTAATAGCTCTAGAGTTTGCCAAGACGCCCTGGAGTATGTGGCTCCCTCCAAAATTACCAGCGCCAGGACCCAGAACGTCATCACGACCCAGCATTTCTGTGCATCCCAGGCTGCCGGCATTCACGTTCCCTCTGGAACCTCGGGTTGCTGAGGTGCCCAGCTCACCGGCCCCTCCGTCATGCAGGCTGAGCCATCACTGGTCACTGTGCACCCTGTCCCCCAACTCACCTGCAGCATTCCTGAATCTGTGCCCAAACAAGACAGTCTGCGCCGTCTGGAGGCCTCAGGAGGCCACGCCCGCTCACTCGCACCCACCATGCAGGACATTGCTCCGAGCCTAGTCTGGTCTGGGGATGTGAGGGCGACTGCCCTGAGGTGGGGCCAGTGCAGGTCACACTTTGTCAGGGCCCCTGTGACCAGGTGTGCATTTGTGTAGAGTAGTGACCTCTCTGATTCCTGCAGGGAAGTAAGATCAGAGCTGCCAGGGGGCTGTAGGGGGAGTGGGTGGCGGTAGGAGGGGTTGTGGGGCAGGACAAGCGATTTCTCTTGTCTTCCGGGGCCGATGAACGTCCAGCCGGAGGGTCACCGGAGCAGAAGGTCGCTGGAACAGCAGGGAAAGCCCAAGGGGAATGAGAAACGGGGTGGGGGTGACTGAGGTGAGGACAGGGACGAGGGAGGAGATGCTGGCCGATTGGGCCGAGGGAAGCTGAAGTCTGATGTGCTAGAGGCCAGCACCTAGAGGTCAGACTGGAGCCTGGTGCCAGGTATAAATGCGGCATCACCCATGAAGAGGTGGCAGTGGGTCCCCAAGGCGGAGGAGGAAAGAGCCCCTTCGAAGGGGTCATGTCCCATTGCGTCTGTCACCACACGGTCCATCACCCCTGCCTAACTTGTCAAGGAAGACAAAGCATTTCTGGAACTAAAGGACACCACTGTGCATGTACGATCACAGAAATGGTCTTAACCACTCCTAGCTCCAAGCCCCCCAAGACCCCTACCTGAGATCCAGATTCATCATCCCCACACTCAGTCCCCATGCTCCCCCTTCCCCACATTTTCCAACCACCACCAACTTGCCCGCATTGTGGCACATCCCTGCCTGCCCCCTTCAGGGCCTGGGTCTCCTGTCACCCGCCAGGTGACACCCGCAGCTCTCTCTCCAGTCCCCCACCTGCTGGATTCCGCTTCACCATTTAGGGTTTCTGTTGGACTGGGACCTCGGAGGGGTCACTCCCAGGCCTTCTAATTAGCAAATGGTGGTGAATGAAAGAGAAGCCCTTTGCCTTATTTGTCCTAGACTTGCCACTGACTCGAGGATGTGCTGTAGTGCCTTTAAGATTTAGTACCCCAAACATTTCCTTCAGGATTCCAGGTTCTTGATCCTTTCCAGGCTCAATGTTATTGTCCATAATCCTTCCTTACCTGGTGGTGGTGGGGGGGGTTCCTCCATGTCCCCAATTTACACATTCATTCACCTGTGCAACAAATATTAAGGCTGGTTCGTGGCAGGCACTACTGATGATGACCCAGGACACAACCACAACAAGGCGGGCACAGCCTGGCCTTCCAGGCGAACATTTAACCATTACGGAGTCATCCCTACTTTATTCCAATGGTGCAAGCCACTGAGGACCCAGGTGGTGGCCCGTTGGCTGTGGCTGCTCCCTGCGTCTTCGCCAGCTCCTGGTCCAGCGCGGGAACGAGGCCAGCCGTGGAGACTGCCCAGGGCCTGGGTCCCGTCTCCCACGTGTCAAGCAAGGACTTCACTCACCCGAATACCATCCCACGTGTGGCCCAAAATTTTGGAGGTGGTTTGGCCACCGCCCAGTGCTCTCTAGCCGCTGGGTGGGCGTCTCTGGGCGCTCACGGACTTCACGGTCGGAGTTGAGAGCCAAGTCAACCACCCTTGTCAGCGGCAAGTCTTGCGCAGACTCCGGGGCTGGCGGACCGGAGGGGCCGGAGGTCCCGGGCCGGGGCGGAGGGGCGGGGCCGGGAGGGAGGGGCGGGCGGGCCGGCCCGCGGGGGCGGGGCCTGAAGCTCTGACATTTATTCCGCCCGCCGCGACCTCACGTAGGCGTCAGGAGCGCTGCGCGACGGCGGGATGGCTGCGAAGGGTGAAGACGCTGCGCCGCAGGACCCTTAGACCGGAGTGGGATGGGGGACGCCACGCCCTTCCCGCCGCCCACCCACCTCCTTGCCGCCCCCCCCGACCCCCGGAGCGGAAGTGGGAGCGGGTTGATTGGACCCGCGGGAGGGTGGGGACCCCGGGAGAGGGCTGCACGTGGCTTCTAAAGGTTCCGGGAGCTCCAAGGTAGAGGAACAAGCGCAGGGCTCTGGGGCCTCAAAGGTGTCCAGCCGGGCCGGGTGGGCCAGCAGAACAGGTCAGTGCCGGACCCCGGAGAAGTCATCCCTGATCCGATTAGGCCAGAGACAGCGTGGTGCTGGGTGGTCCGGACTGGGGTCCGGCAACAAATCCTCGCTCCACTTCATTCTCCCTGAGGATCTCTGGGCTCAGACTGCACCTCCCCATGCCTCGGTGTGCTGGTCTGGGTGTGCTGGTCTGCGAAGAGAGAGTGACAATGATCCGACTTGCTGTGAGGAAGTGAGAGGGACCACCCCATCTGCCCTCTGAAAGTTTAGACTGTGTTGGTTATTGCCAGGACTGTTTTCTCCCCGTTTTACAGAAAAGGAAACTGGAACTCAGCAGGTTTTACTAAGCGGCCCAAGGTCACACACCCAGCAAGTGTCAGAGCCCAGGTCTAGCCAATTCCACAAAGTTCTGCCATGAAACCCTACCCTGGTTTTCCTCACTCTGCGGACCCAGTTTAAATTTCCTTTCTCTGGGTATCCCCAAACCCATGTCAGGCTCTCTCCCTGTAATCCCTGGGGGCAGTGTGGGAACCTGAGCCCCTGGGCTTTTGCCCTGAACACACTGGGGTACGGATGAGGGGCTCAGAAAGTGCCTTCATGAATGAGTGTGTGGCTGTGTTCCAGGTATGCTCTCAGAGCTGAAGCTGGCTGTGCCCTGGGGCCACATCGCTGCCAAAGTCTGGGGCTCCCAGCAGGCTCCCCCAGTTCTTTGCCTGCACGGCTGGCTGGACAATGCCAACTCTTTTGACAGACTCATCCCTCTTCTTCCAAAAGGTGGGACTGAAGGGAAGCCAAGGGGCAAGGTGACATAGACTGCGGGAGAATGAGGGGTGGGAGAGACCGCCGACCTAGTTGCCTTCTCCTCTCCCATTTCTTGTCTCAGACTTTTGTTATGTTGCCATGGATTTCGGGGGACATGGGCTCTCGTCCCATTACAGCCCTGGTCTCCTGTATTACCAGGAAAGCTTTGTGAGTGAGATCCGGAGAGTCGTAGCAGGTAAGAGGCAGAACGAGAGAGAGAGAGAGAGTGTGTGTGTGTGTGTGTGTGTAAGTGTAAGAGTGCACTGGGACATCGCTTCCGTTCGCTGAGTGGGGTGTGTTAGCCAGGAAACAATGTTGGACTGGGAGTGATCTGGCGTCACTCAGAAATTCATGGGTGACTTTGGGAAAGTTGGAGAGGGCTGCCAAGAAGAGCTCTTCCTTCAGGGGTTCCACCCCTGTAAAGAAGCTGCAATCCCTCTAAGCTAGTTTCCTGAATGGGCCACCCCAGATGCTGGGGAAAGATGTCCTGAGCACGAGGACTGCAGGACAGAGGGTGGGGGGAGCCTGGGCCCACTAAAACATAGCCCTCTGTGTTTCAGCCTTGAAGTGGAAGCGTTTCTCCATCTTGGGCCATAGTTTTGGTGAGTACAGTTTACACGTGGATGGGCAGGGGGCTGACTGGGCTGAGGGGCTGCGAGGGAGGGAGAGGAAGTGGTACACAGGGACCCTGCACTTCTGGGCACTGCAGAGAGAGGTAAGAGAGATGAGGGAGGCTGTGGGCACTGGGCACCTTTGGCCTGAGGTACCTCCCCCAAGGGACATAGGGCCCCAGAGGTGGCTGTCTTCCAATGTGACAAGGGAAATGTGACTTTTCGAGTGGCTAGGTCTGGTGAAGGGGTCATGTGGCCCCCGGGGAGGGAACCCCAAGTTTGATAGGGAATAAAGAGCCCTGGTCCTTGGTGGGAGAGGGCGAGGCCCGTTAGCCTGGGGTGGGGCAGACCGTGGGAGGAAGTTTTAGTAGGATTGGTGGAATACCAGCCCATGACTCTTTTTTCCCCCAGGTGGCGCGGTGGGCGGAACGGTGAGTAGATGGCTTTGCAGTGACTACCTCTGGCCACGTAGGGCATTCCTGCAGATGGGGCAGGAGGTGGGGGGAGGGCAGTGGGAGAAGTTTCTGGGAAAGGAAGTGCCTCCTCATATCACGAATTTGAACCCAGTATTTGATGGCCTAGTGCAGTCTGCTTTATAGATGGCAGTAATAATCCTTACTACGGGGAGGTTGGTGAAACTGGAGATTCCTGGTAGAGTTCAGAGTTTCCACATTCCCCATCCTCAGAGAACCCTGGAATCCAGCCATCCACCAGGGTGTGAACCTTGGCCTGGGTATGGATCTCCAGGTCGAGGAGAGGGGAGGCTGCCCTGAAGGGAATAAAGACTCTTGTCCCAGCCCCTTGGAAACGTCAGCATCCCCAGGGGAAAGTTTGAGTCCCTTTGCCTTCTTCCTCTCGTACTCATTCTTCCCTTTTTGGATCACTTCGTAGTTTTCCAGTATCTTCCCCGAGATGGTGAATAAACTTATCTTGCTGGACACATGGCCATTTGCCCTGGACCCTAAAGTAAGAATGGGGCCTTTCATGCATGTTATCATGGGGGAGACCCAGGCCCCAGGTGGTGTCCTCAGCCCTACCTCTTTTGGCAGGGAGGTGGGAGGAGGTGGCAGAAGGTAGACAAAGGGGGATCAAGGGGCCCCCAGAGAGGACAGGGTATGCAGCCTGTACCCCTAGGAGTGAGCAGAGAAAAGGGGTGCAGAAGCCTTTGTCATCCTTGGAAACGCTGTATGTGGCCTGGGATCTACAGAATGCCAAGTGTATCACGAAGCGGCAGGGGTGGGAGAGGGTCAGGACAGTGGATTGAGGAAGCTCTGGGAGCACACTGTGTGATGAGCCCCCCCGCCCCCGACTCACATTCAGTTGTATGCCTTTGTGCTGTGGGCACATTGTACAACAGCACACAGCAGCCTTGAGGGTGGACAGATAGGAACATGTGGATCTCTCCCGCTGCCGCCACTACCACCAGTAACAACAGACAGTACTGTCCCTGCAGGAGTCCTGGCTTCTGCTACTGATCTGCTGGGTGACTCTGGGCCAGTCACTTGGCCTATCTGGGCCTCAGTTTCCTCACCTGTAAAGCCCGGAGGTTGGACTAGGTGACCTTGGAGTTGCCTGCCCGCTGTCCAATTCTGTCACTTTGTTCCCAGGAGCTCAGTCTCTCAATTATGACACCGCTTCATCACCAGTTTTGGTTTCTTCTCTGTAAAATGGCCACAAATGCCAAAAGGGCACAAAGCAGGCTGTCTCACCACCTGCCCAATCCCCAGCACACAGTAAGCGCCCAGTAAGTGCTGGTCTCATGAATGGAGAGCTCTGTGGGTGACTGTGAGGCTCCGGTGAGACTCTGGGCTACTCTCCCTTTATCTGTCTCAGCCACTGAGTTACCCAGCGCAGTACCCCAGCATCTCCCCACAGAGAATCTCAGTATTTGGTCATCCCTGTCGCGCACTCTTGGGGGCTGGATGGGCGTGTCCCTTCTAGCTGCTGCTGCTCCAGGCGGCGGCCTGTGGCCAGGGCTGGGCTGTGGGAGGGAGCCAGGCGTGGAAATGGGTATACAAGAAGGGGGACCGGGAGCCCCTGGACTGCATGCCCTCTGCCGTCTCCTCTCTACCAGCTGGAGTGCTGGCATTCAGTAAACCAGCTGAAACTCCAAGCCTGGGTGGTCCGGGTCTTAAGGACCGAATACTGAACCCTTGCAAAGCGCTGGCCGTTGGCAGAGATTTCCTTTCCCCTCCATCATCCATCCTGACCCCTCCAGCCGTCCGAACCCCAGGCGGGGCTGGCTGGGCTGACAGATCACGGGGCTAACCTTCAGGGGCTGATCTGGTGCCGCCCTTTGCTGGGTCAGAAGGCTGAGGGGCTGTCGAGGCCCGAGGGTGGGGACGGGGGCTGAGCCCTTCTGTCTGCAGCCCAGACTCCCACCCACCCAGCAGAGCCCTCCTGTCCCAGGGAATAGAGTGCGTGCTGGCCTACCGGCGGGGAGCCATCGAGCACGTGCTGCAGGTGGAGGCCTCCCAGAAGCCCCGGCAGGTGGTCAGCCCGGAGGAGATGCTGCAGAGGTGAGTGCTGGGTGGGGGGGCCGACTGGTGCGAGACCTGGGCAAGCAGTGGGATACCAAGGGAGGACGACTCTGGGGCACAGAGGAAGCCTCAGGCTCCTACACACAAATTACACGGAGCCTGTTTCTCTCTGCGCTCACCGCAGGTGTCAGGCTTCCTGGCTCTCTCCAGACACCCCGGCTGGGACTCACCTGCCTCGGGTCCTCCCCGCTCTGTAGCCACGCCCTTCGTTTCCCAAAACCCCTTTCCACCTACACTCTACCCCTCTTCCTCTCCCTATAACTGGGCACACATGCACGCGTGTGCACACACACACGCTGCCGATGTGAACGACCCCCCCTGCCGCATGCCTGTGTCCCTTGTGGGGGGCCTCCTCTTCGTTCCTTCGGGCCTCCCCTGCCCCCAGACATCCAGCGTCCCTCTGTCCTCCCCAGGTTCATGAAGAACCACAGTCACGTGAGTGAGGAGAATGCGCGACTCCTCTTGCAGAGAGGAAGCACCAAGGTGGCCACAGGTAGGGACTCGCCGGCTCCGGCCGTGGCTGGTCGGCCCTGCCCTTACTGAGGAGCGATAACCACGAAGCTTCATGGCTGCTTGCTCGACGTAGCACCGAGTGCTTAGCAAACAGTGTCTCCTGTCATCCTCCTCCCGTTGCCTTATTCTCACCCCGTGCACAGCAGGGGAAACTGAGGCTCTGCTAGGCCAAGGGACACGTGCCAGGTCAGACAGCTGCTGCGCCTCCCAGAAAGGCCTGTGGGGAGCCCCGTCAGGTGTGTCGGGGGTGAATGTTGGGGAGCGTCCCGGCCGTGATCTGCTGACCCTGTGCAGTGGGCGCTGCTGTCCCAGGCTAGGGTTTGAGGTCGTCGGATGGGGCAGTGACTTGAAGGGGGTTTTTTGAAATGGAGACATAGCACAGGAGGCACCTTGGTTTCAGGGCAGCCTTGGGCCCGTGTTTTCTGTACTTCGTTTTCTGCTGTGGCCATTCGGGAAAACTTTACCAAGGTCCCGGTCAGTGCCAGCCCCATGTGTGACCACGGAGCTGCGGCGTGCAGCGGCAGACACTGCCCCTCTCCGGGCGGGCCGGTCCCGCCAGCTGGCACGACTCCCGACGGCGCCCTTCGTAAGGGCCTCCCTGGAACCGACTCTGCCAGGGGCTGAGCCAGGATGAGGCCAGGTCAGGGATGTCCATTCTAGGAGGAGAACAGACAAGCAAGAGACATTTTCTTATGAGTATAGTAAAAGAAGCGTACAGGGTGTTCTGGAAGAAACCCCACAGAGGGGGTCCTGGAGGCGCCTCCCAGAGGTGAAGCCCAGGGGAGACAGTGTGGGAAAATGGACCAGGCGCTAAATTGGGCCCAAAGCCCTGGGCTGATTCCTGGCTCTGCTAGCTCAGAGACCTTGGGCAAGTTCCCTCTCCCCGTTTAGACACCTCCCCCCTATTTTTCTTAGGTGATAAATAATGTCTTAGGATCTTCGTGCTCATGGTCTGAGAGGATCAAGTAAGGAGGCGAATGCAGCTTCAGCTTATAAAGTAGCAAAGGAGGCAGGGGTCAAAACCCTAAGGGCTTGCCAGATTTGACCAAGTGGTGGCATTAACTGGGCCACTGGGAGTCAGCAGGGAGTGGTGGGGACTATGGTCCTGGAAGCAGGACAGCCCAGCCTATGGTTATCACTGGGAACTCTGGGCCTTGTGTGGCTGGAATTTCCAGTTGCTCCCAAGAAGCCAGAGATCTACTGTGTGGTGGTGTCTTTCCAGAAGTTGCCAACACACCGTGAGGTCAGGTAGAATATGCTTAAGGGATGTTGTGGCCTTGGGTTTCCGGTCTGTGACTTGTTGTGAAGGAATATCTGTTATCACCTCTGAACCTTGGCAAATCTGCCATGGAGAGGAGAGGTCAAGGCAGAGGCCCAGGGGCTCAGGCTTCCCAGCAGGCCCACACAGATGGCCCAGCGCAGAAGTGGGCTAATCTGGAATAAGACATGTTCTCAGCCAGGCAGGGGAAGCTGATTAGGCCAAGCCCTGGTTCCATGAAGGGGTGAGCACAGACACCGAAGCAGTTGTCAGGGAGGGTGAGGAGAGAAGGGAGGGGGTTGGGTAAGGCAGCTGGGTTGCTTTGTTAGGCTCAGCGCCTGTGCAGCAGTCATGGCCCTTTGGGGCCGGAGCTTAACCCAAAACAAGACTGAGCAGGCTCCGAGCCCCCATCGGGGGTTATGACACGGGGAGAGCCGGTGTTCCAGGCTGTTCGTGAGTCCTTGTCCTCAGGTCCCAGAGCCCCTGACAGTCCCCATTCCACTCTGGGGCAGCAGAGAGCAGGGACCGCTCCATGAGCCCAGCCCGATCCTACAACTGAACCCAAGTTCATCTGCCCAATGCACAGCAGAACCAAACACTCAGGAGGCAAGGAGAGCAGGGAAGACCTCCCTGCGGGGGAACGCAAGGGGTTTTGTTTTTTGGTTTTTGGTTTTTTTTTTTTAAAGGCAAATGGGAAGGGGTCTGGGTAAAGGGGAGAAGAGTTAATGTGAGTCAAAACCAGATAAAGGAAGTTAGTAAAGTAGGGGAGGGTCTACGGGGAGGTCAGTGGTCTGAGCAGTTCTGGCTGACTCCTTGCGTCTCTGCAAAACGAATTAACACTTGGTTATCCCAGCGTCAGGCTTGAGTATTATCTCGCAGAAACATGGCGGCAGACGGCGTTCCCAGACCAATGGGTTTGGGTAAGGACCCTACAGCAGCCTCAGTGGCCCTGTTACTCGCTGGTTACTGGCTTTGGTCCCCAGGGCCTTTGATCATCCCTCATTCTTGAGTGCAAGGGGCTGATGACCGCTCTGGCTACTTCCTGCTGCAGTGGGGCAGAGATCGAGGGAGGGGAGAGGAAGGGATCCTTTTTGCGCTTAATCATAAATAATCCTCAGTTCCGGCTTAAAACCCTACACTCTGCATGACTAAAATTTTTGTACTTCGGTTCATAGTTTTTGTACAGTGTTTTGTACCACGTGTTGTGATTAAGGAGCACAGGAGAATTAGGAATCCGGAAAATTCCACATTTGAGGAAATGTTCTGAGTCAAATGGACCTAAATCCTTGGGAAATCCAAGAAAATAATCCGGGAAAACGGTCCAAATCGGAGTCTGGGACTTTAGAGATTTGTTGCAACCAAGTAGCTTATTGTCTTTATTGTGTCAAGGGGAACATCCGTTTCAGAGGGAGCGTTAGTGTGTGTGCCGCGAGCAAGGTCCATTCTGGGGAAGTGTGAATACGTGTGCGGCCTGATGAACATACTGTACACACGCCTCCTTGTTCACTGAGGTATAACCCAGAGCAGTGCTTAGGTTAGCTTTAGTGCTTTTCCCTCTCCCACTCCCCCTGCTTACATTCCCTCTCTCGCTGTCTCTCTCTCTGTGTCAAATAAATAAAATCTTTAAACAAAATAAAGATTTTATTTATTTCTTTGATAGAGATCACAAGTAGGCAGAGAGGCAGGCAGAGAGGGAGAAGCAGGCTTCCCGCTGAGCAGAGAACACAATGTGGGGCTCGATCCCAGGACCCTGAGATCATGACCCGAGCCGAAGGCAGAGGCTTAACCCACTGAGCCACCCAGGCGCCCCTCCACTGAAATTCATATTATGTGCCTGGAAAGGGGAAGAGATTCCCTTAAGGTTCGCGCTATTTTGTGACCTCTGATTTGTATGTAGCAGGAGGTAGTATAACCTGAAGACTGATTAATCCAGCTTTGCTGAACTAAAACGAGGAGATGGTAGCCCAGAACATGGGTTATGTGAAACAAACAAGTAGTCACGGTCTGTTAGAGAGTGTTTGTTTTTTATGACCTTATGTTCTGGCGTCCTTCCACGAGCTTTCAGAGGTCATTACGGGGGACACTGTTGAGGGTGTTAAAAAGAAGCAGGGTACATAGAGTCCTCCAGTGAGTAAAATACTTTCTGATAAGTAATTTTGATCTGGTATGTTGTGACTGTAGTTGCTTTTCCATAAGTTACCATGAAGTTGGGCTCATTAGAGAAAGGTTGTGGGCGTAGCTGTGGGGTCGGCGTGGTCATGTATGGGGAAGGGCTTCAGGTACCATATTCAGCAGTCAGACAAAGACTGCTGAAGACGCTAAAGTTTATGAAATTCTGACCATGGAATTATCTTTCCAAGAAAAAGAGGTGGGGATTATGGAGCAAAACCAACAACCCCGAGGAGTCCTACTCATCTGCTAGTGTGTCTGTCTCCTGAGTAACACCTTGAGATCCGTCACAGGCTCACAAGAACAGTTAGCAGATTCCTTCTCCAAAAGCAGTGGGGTGAAGTCTGTGCTCCGGGGGTGTGCCATCTTCCAAGCTTTGGGGGATCCTGGCTCTTGTGTGTTTTTTGTGTTATTTTTGTTGGTGGTGGTGGTGATGGTATTTTTGTTTTATTTTGTTTTGGTCTTCCTTTCTCCAAGGTCAGAGCCTCCTTTTCTTCCAAGCAGCCTCATGAGCAAGTACTGGGAAGATTTGTTAATGGGTCACCACACCATAGCAAAAGTCCCGAGGTGTGTTGATGAATTAATATTTTCCGCCTTCGGATTTGTCTTTTTTTTTTTTTTTTTTTTCTTAGAAAAACATCACAGACCAGCATTGTTTCCTCTTAGCTGAAGTTTAACTATTCTGTTGTTTTGTTGTAAGAAGTTTGCTCCAGATTTGGTGAACCAGTCTTAGTCTTGAAAATAGGTTACTTTGGTTAATCAGTCGTCTCATTTCAGGAGGCACTGCAGGCGGGCTCTCAGAGTTGGATCTGTATTGTGCAAGCCATCAAGTAATCAACGAGAGGGATTTTGTGGAAACAAAAGAAAAATAGGTTAATGGTTAGCGCAAGTAGTAAACCCAGTGTCTTGAGTCCTGAGTGCCGTTGGCGAGATTTCTAGCTGTTGGGCTTGAAGCATGTTCAGATGGAGTGAGGGTTCACGCATCGCCCTGGCCTGCAGTTCACATGTCTCTGTTATCTTCCTGAGCAGCCCCCACAGCAACAGACATGAAGATTGTTTAAACATGAGCTGTTGAGGGGCGCCTGGGTGGCTCAGTGGGTTAAAGCCTCTGCCTTCCGCTGGGGTCATGATCCCAGGGTCCTGGGATCAAGCCCCACATCAGGCTCTCTACTCAGTGGGAAGCCTGTCTTCTCCTCTCTCTCTCTCTCTCTGCCTACTTGTGATCTCTGTCAAATAAATAAATAAAATCTTAAAAAAGAAAAACGAGCCGTTGAGGCAATTTCTCCGAAGTTTACCTCAAGCCATCTAGCTTCGGTCTTCAAGGCCTCGTGAAAAAAATTAAATTAAAATTGAATTAAAAAAATTAAAAAGATGGTTTTAATTCTCAGTGGTTTCATGTTGACGTATGGGAGGAAATGGGAAACTTTAGTTCTGAGAGTCAGAACCAGGTATTTGAAGAAACCAGAAAAATTCAGGATCGAGCCCAGTTTTATAGGCAAACAACAAATACTCAGAGATAATTCATAAGAACTAGAATCTAACATTCACAAAGG